TTTTTTAAATTGCTGTTTGATTATAGTTTTGTGAGGGGACCTTCAGGTGCCATGGTAAAATTCCTAGTTCCTCGTTTGCATTATGTTCAGCGATCTTTATCCTACACGCCGTCAAATCAGATCATTTCTCTTCTTCACTTCAGACTGGTAAGAACTGGGTGCGTCATTCAAGCCTAAATGGAAAAATGCCCTCCAAGCTGGCGAAGCAAAGCCTTCCTTCAGCCGAGAGGGGCGGGCAGGGCTGGGCAGCCAGGAGCTACGAGCAGCCCACCATCGCCTCCAAGTCGCGCTCGCCGTCCCCGTACACCAAGCGCCGCATGTGCGAGCTCTCGGAGGAGGCCAGGCAGAGACTGGCCCACCTCAACCTGGGCCCTCACGAGTTCAGGAGAGACACTGACAGACCTCCCTTTGTCATCAGACGGGTTTGTATTCGCTCCAAGCTTAAGCTCGGTTCAAATGTTGTTCTTTCGTTAAAGAGCGCTCCAAAAATTGATTCAGCTCTTAGTTTAGGTGAATAATTTTTTCCCTCTCCTTAATAGTCTGTCATAGAGTGATTTAAATGTAAAATTAACTAAAATAAAATTTCTTTTATCTGCTTTAGTAACAGACAAAGATCAAATTCTTCCACGAATATCTTGGTTAAATTCTCTGAGGCCCCATTTCTTTTCTTCCAGCACACTAGACAGGATAATAGGTGTATAAATTCAGCTTGGAAGTAATTGATATTAGTATTAAAAAATCCTGAATAAGACTTTAAAGAAAGAGTGTCTAATCACACTATGAACACTTACACTTCCTCTCTTTCAACTTTTTTTATGTTGGTATCCTGTGATCTTTGGAACACTTCCTTTGCTCAGAGCTACATCTCAAACACTTTGACTTAGAGTTCATAACATAAGGACATTTTGCCATACATGAAAAATTGTCCTGAAATTAGGTACTTATTTAAAGAAATTGTGTGTACCTCTTTTAAAATGAAGGGGCTACATTTCCCAGTCACCTGCAGGATCATGTACTCTTTCCCCCCCGCCCCTCCCCCCCCAACCCCTTAATCTTCTTATTGCAACAATTCTCTGTTTTTAAACAATCACTTTGAATTTGTAGGGGAAGAAATGGGATTGTTCATATAATGTGCTGTGACATTATGATTTCTGGGCACTTACCACAAGCAGTTAGATAATCAAGTGGTTAAATAGTTTGCTTCTATCTTACCCTTTTACCTAGTATCACTACTAATTAATTAATAATGTATTGTCAAAGTTTAGAACACTTACCAAGTTTTATTCTACATATAGCTACCTTTTAGAAATTCAAATGGCCTGAATAAGTCATTAATCATTCATCAATCTACTATTTCTTTCATATATTTTTCTTTTAACTCTTTTTACTTAATTCTTCTGGGTTTGGATCTAAAGGTGAAGTTCACAGTTCAATTATAGTGTCATTAACACTGATTATTGATTTTCAATGCTTGGTTATTTTTGTACAAAAAAAGGAAAAGCTTGTGTCTTGATTCAGCATGTCCTCACTGTCATGGCCTTTCTGGATTGAGAATTCTCCTTTCAGGAGAATATCTTTACTGCTGAGAACTCTTTTGGCCTGGAGATTTTGTGTTACATGAAGATCAAAATTGGATTATATTAAATGTAACTTTTTAATTAGGAAGAGATTCAGATCTCTCTTGGTGAGATCTGAGCTGTTTAGAATAAATATGAGATACCAGGAATTGTTTAAAAAGATTGCAGACATTACAGATGAAGGAGAAAAGAAGTGTCTTTTTCTTTTTTTGAACAATAAGATATTCAGAGTTTTTTATGCACAGTAATGCTAATAATGCACATGAACCAACTGCTATGAAAATAGTCTCAAATAGTATTTAAATAAAGTAAAATGTTTCAGAAAATGCCAGTTGTGGTCTTACAGACAAAACCAGAAAAAACTGGAATTGATACTGAGTATTTTAACAGTATTTTTGCTTCAGGTTGGACAACCAAGTCCTGGTGCTAAAATTAATTCCTGGTGTTCCCTGCGAGAAAGCACAGCAGAGGCCTGGCCCAAGGCACCCCATGGTCAGTATTTTCTACTATATATCACATATATGCTTTTGATTTCTGCAGGAAGCAGTTTTATTTGGAGCCTTTTATTATTATTTTGGTTTTTTTATTTATTATAAAAATGTGAGTCTGTGATGGAGAAAAAGCTGTCAGTTCTTCCCAGGAAAAGGAAGAATGCTGAATAAATTACTGCTTCAAAGGGTGCCCTTGAATAGTTCTTTACTTCATGAAGCTTGGAACATAGTTCTACATTATGTGAAAATAGGAGAGATTTCCAAAACTCTCTTTCACTCCCTTTCTTGTTGGGTTGGATGGTGGAGAAAATCTGCAACATGGCTTGTGGGTGTGTTGATCAGCCTTGGGGTATTGATTATTTTGAACTTCAGGGCTGTGTTCCTTCAGAAATGAGTAATGTTTATTTTAGCAGTATTTGTGAATAGTGGATCAGTGACTTACCATTATTAATGAACATCCAGGATGTGCTGTAGTATCTGCTTCAGCATCCTTTGGTATCAGTAAGTGAGAGTTTAATAAAAAATGTGGGACCAGAAATTTAAGAAAGCACCCTAAAACTTGATTTTATTGCACATGTCTTAAAATATGAGGATTTTAATGAGTCTCATCAGTATTTGTTTATGTGTACTCTGCCTCATTTTTATTTCATTTCCTCACTAATTATAATTTGTTATACAGCAAATCATTATGAACGTGTTATTTTACATTTGTTCTTTGTCATTGCACTGGGTGCTAGATTTTAAATGTTTCACATCCCCTTTGGGAACAGATTTGGCTGGATAAAGGAACAGACCAGATCATCTGATACTATTGCACATTTACAAAATGAGGTGGTGGTTTCTGGCTAGTATCTAGAAGACCAAAATCTACCTCAATATTAACATCCAGAGGATTCTTTGGTCACCTGCCCATGTCTTGAGGCTTAACTGTAACTTCTGAAAAGAACAGGTCCCTAGGATTAGAAATCTTAATGCAGACAGTACAGTTTAGTCCCTTTTTGCTTTTCCTGGGTCACAGTGTGAGGGTTGTTCAGTACAAACTGGTAGAACAGATCAAGAAAGTAGATTTAATGTCAGTCCCTCAGGGATGAGGTGTATATTGACGCTGGTGAAAAATCCTGACCCAGGAGGGGTCTGAGAGTTTTTCCATGTGTTTCACTAGGATCTGTATTTGTGTCTGTGAGTCAGTGGTGAAGGAGGGAATGCAGAGGTGATAGGAGAAGGGAGAGATGCTCACAGGGAAACTTGTTCAGAGAGGATTAGTAAAGTAGAGCAATGTATATGGGAAATGGTGAATTTGTTTTGATACTGATTTAAGCAACAAATAGTGTAGCAAAATGTGCCACTTCTGTCTGTGCAGAAGATGGTGCCTACCCTGATTCATTACTGCAAGCTTTGTATTCCATTTAATGGGAGGTTGTGGTTTTCAGATAAAGAAGGTGATTTCCTGAAATATACTGAGGAGACAAAAAAAATATCTTTAGTTTTGTTTGTGAGGACAGATAGGATGCTTTGTAAAAGATTTCATAGAATTTAGGAAATGCAAATGTATTTTTGATTTCTTCTGTCACGGACCTTTATTCCTTCTCCAGATCCTTCTCCTCACGACAGCTACAGACCCAAGAAAACTGAAGTGAGTACTTTCAAGTGGTTTTGCTTTCACACTGTTTTTTGGGAAGCTCTGAGCTTCCCAATCTTTCTTGGATTGTCTTGCATAGGTATTTTTGAAACGTTATCTACTGTAGTATCAGAAGTAAGAAAAAGGACATTTTAAATCTGATCTATCCCAGTTAAGGCCTGCTGAAAGATTATTTACAAACAGTAGAAGGAAAATTAGCACTCTTTAAAGATGCTTATTCCTGCGCATACAGAATTATCCTTTCCTTGGCCATAAGGCTTGCAGCAAGGCCATAGAGGAGCCTTTAAAGGCTGTTTGCTTTTGCCTTACCAGTTGTTCTGAGAGCATTGTTCATTCTGGCAATGTGTGTGCAGGTGCCACAACTGGGAAACCACCGTTGTGTTATTTCACATCCTTTCTTTTTCAGATTTTGGCTTCTTTCTGTATTAAAATAATCAAAATATTAACATCAGGGTTGTTTTGGGTTTGGGAGGTTTTATTCTTTACATCTTCATTTAGTTGTTCTTCGCCTGTGTTCCTGAAGTACTCTAAAAATTATGGGTTTAGGCATCTAGTTATGTGTGCCCTCCTAGATTTCCTAATGTCTGGGAAAACTGATGATAATAGGGAAGAGGAAAGAAAAGGAATTATGAGGATAAACCTTGGTATATATATTAAGTAGACTTCTGTCAGATTCTAAACTTTTATTACCAAGGGCTGTAGTTCTGTGTACCATGTGACTCTAATATATTGTGCTGCCTTTGGATCGTTCCATGGGTTGTTTAGAGTCTCAGGCATTATTCTGAATCTGTGAGATTCCTGGGAAGCTTTCAAGTTGTGCACTGAGAAAAATTGATAAAAGGGCCATTGCAGTAAAGTTTTACATAAGGTGGTGTGTTAGTTACCAACAGATTCCTCTGAGACTTGTTGATTTACTTCAGACCATAGATTTTTGTATGAAATGAGAGTCCTTTTTCTTTCCCCAGCAGACAGATATTCCTGAATGGATATACAACCTTTAACCTTTTGTGTTAAGAAATAAAAACATGAATATTTTACATCTTGATATTCATAATAAATTTTAGTTTGTTGGGGTATTTTTCAGGCAAAATCTAGTGGAAAAGGTTTGGACAGTAGTGCTGTTTGCAAGGAGCATGTAAGCCCAGATCCACCCAAGAGAGAGTGCCATTCTGCTGCTTTGGAGCGTTCAGCACCTCCAGCAGTTCAGGAGTCTCCAAGTTCTGTGCTGAGTCGATCTTCTCTGAGGGAAAGGTAATGCCCTGCTTTTGTTCATGACATTCTGGAACTGGGAGCATGAGCTGATGATAGCAATGCCTGCATGACTGTAGTTTGCATATTTGTAGTTTGCAAGGTGTGAGGGTTGAAAAGACTGAAAAATCTTCCTGCAGCAGCTGTGTTGTTGTTTGACTTTTCCTTTTGCTGTGTTTACCATCACCTCTGCTTGATGATTACAGTCCTAGTAACATGGCAGCGAAAATCTCTGAAACAGTGACACCCCGAATTTTAGGCTGCCAGTGTCCATCTGGAACAAAGAATTAATAAAGCATCACTTAAATGAATCATCACGCTTTCAGAGGTGATTGAAATCTCAGGAATGTAAATACAGATATGTAAAAATGCCAAGTAAACTTTACAGTAAGTACTTGGAAACCTTTTTTCCATCTGACTTTTCACAGGGGTTTTTGAGCACGTACTTGTGGCTGTGCTGTACTCAGATGTGTGACTGGTGTGCATAACATGCTTAGGCTAGCTTTAATCTACTCAGTGTGTTATTTTCCCATCTTTTCCCTTTGTTGACATCCTAAGATTTTGGCTATGATTTTTGAGTGGAAGTGTGGACCTCTGCAGCTATTGTGTGTATATTAATTGTTGTATTTCAATTACTTTTCTTAGCTATCTCCACTGACCCCAGTAGAATTGGGTTTGGGACAGTTTAAAATATCCTTTAATTTAGTGGATTTCAGTCCCTTGGTTAATATATTGGGCCAGCTTTAGTGTCTTATGAGGGTGGAATGGAAGAAATGTCAAAAAAGCATCAGATGGTTTCATGCTTAAGCCCTCCAGTCCTTTAAAGAGAGTATTCCCTGCTTCCTGCTGAGTGTTCATGGTGCTTCTCTTGTACATTCAAGTAGCAAGTTACTGGTTGCCTTTCTGGGAACAGAAAAACTGTATGCAAAGCTAGGCCTGAGTAAGCAAATAGATAAAATAATTGGGAGAAACTAAGGATTAAACTGAGGACCCATCCTAAGTACTGAAAATGTGCTTTGGTGACCAGTTCACGCTCTGGTACCATTGGTACCAGGTTAGTCAATGCTTGCAGGTTGCATTTTACAGCCTACACACAACCTAATGCTTGTTTCCAAAATAGAAAAACTGTCTCAGTTTTTTCTTTAAAAAGAAAAATGACAGATGGCAGGTGGGGACTGAATTTTTAATACTCACAAAGATCAAGTTGGTGTTTTAACAGCTTCCTCTGCTTGAAAACTTGTTTGTTATATGTTCTGTGTAATAATGCATCTTGGAAAGTGTTATACAGAGATTAGGATGTATCTGGGGTTTGAAGGAGGTTTCTTTGTCATCTTGTCTGCCTCCCCATTCTCCTCTGACAATGTTTGTGCATTAGTTACCCATATCTGGGGAAGAGATATTGTCATGGTAACTTTTTTATCCTTTCTTCAGCTGAACGCTTTTTGGGGGGTTGAGGCTAAATTATATACACATTTTATTTAGAGCTGGTGGGGTGCCTTCTATTGATAGCAGGAAAGTCTTGTATATTGTGAGCTGCTGTTACACGCATAGTAATTTAGTCGTCTGCTAGTTAGTTTTGAACTTGTCTGAATGTTCTTGCTTTTTCTCTTTATGAGCCTCTCTCCAGAAGAGATTTCTGATCTTGTGAAATTATGTTTTTTCTTCTTATTAAAGCAAATGTTCTCAGCTCTTCAGAGCTGTAACGTCTCTCTATGTAAAATATGTAACCATTTACTTCTGTCATCAGAAAAAAAAATCAAAATGAGAAATAAAGGGCATAGTCTAAAAAAAACTGATCTCTTTTTCATGCTGCTGAGATAACAATGGTTTTAGCTGATTGTGTACTGAGAGTTATACTTGGAATGACAAACATGGTTTAGAGGTCAATGTTTGGAAATGCATGCAAACGCTGCTGTTCAGATCATAGAAATACAGAGGAAATCAGTGCACTGAAAGTAAAGCAGTGTTAGAGTAATTGCAAGAATATGGAGTCTTACCTCACAGTATTTGGTGTTTATTTCCTCAATTTTATTTTGAATTACAAAGACAAATTGCTTAGCATATACAGGCTACTGTTTTTAATGCCAGTCAACCCACAGTCAATATGAAACTTGACTCCCCACCTCAACCTTTAGTTCCCTCTTTTCCCTTTTTTAAAAAGTAGTGGGAAGTGACTGTCTGCCTTCTTGGGAGTACGTCCCAGAGCCCTGCTGTGTGGTTGTTAAACTACTGCAATACTTTTCAGTGAGGCAGAAATTGGGGTCTTGTGCAAGGTCCTCTGAGCCCTTTTGTATCCTCCCTGGCAGTTTTCAGTCCCTTTCTTTGAGCCTGCTAGAGACACCACAGATCAATCCTCTTCCCCTTTCCTCTGAGATTTCAGTCAGAAGCAGAACTGTAAATAGATTTACTATTGAACAAGACAGCCAAGTTTTGAATATTGATTTCTCATACTTTCTTTTTGCATTTTTCATTATGTATATCATCTAAGGAAAGCATTTGCTGATGTTGGAAGCTGACACTCAGCAGTGATGTGGCCACAGAACACCCCCAGAGGTCCCTTCCAGCCCTCACTGTTCCATGATTCTGTGAGGTTTGATTGTGGCTCCTGTGCAGACCAGTGGCACTCACAGACCCTCGAGTTCCTGCCCATAGTGTGTCCCACAGTGTGCCAAGGCAGTTGTTTGGTTGGTTGTGCAGAGAGGAGCATCCTGGACATGCCGGGTGCTTTGGGAAAGAGCATTCATACTCTGTCTTTTCAGTGCTGCTTCAGGAAAGCAAAATTGCAGTCCAGTCCTTGCTTTCATGGTGCACAGACATCCTCACACACTCCTAGAAGATGGGGGTTTCTTGAGGACTTACAAGCTAAGCCTTCCTTGCAGCACTGAAACCTGCAGCAAAGTACCTGTCAGAAAGAAAAGGAGAAATAGTGAGATGGATTCCATAAGGTCAAAAAGTCCTTTGAACAGAGCTGTGTGTTGGCACAAGAAAAATCCTTTCCTCATGAGACTACAACAATCATGGGAGTATTTGACTATTTCTGTGAGAGGCAAAGCTACTTCTCATGCATTTGGGATCAAAGGAGTCTTTTTCCTGTTCTGGAAATAGCATGCTTCTACTTTTGTTTCCAGATTGAAGTGCAGTTCGATAGCTTTTTTCATGTTCTCCTGGTTATGCTGCTGAAATGTGATCTTCCCTGCTATAAAATTTAACAAAAACCTAAGTTCTCTTTGAAGTGAGACAAAGGTTAAGTGTCTGGATCAAATGCCCTTCTGTAATATTCCTGTATTGTTTTACTACCATCTTTTTATATTCTCATTTTCCTAGTGCTGGGGAAATAACCACATGAAGTTAGATACTGGTAATGATAGATATAATGACAGATACTAATAGATATTAATGAAATATTAGATCCATTGTGAAGTCCTTGAAAACACCAGTTACCAGAATGTTTGGCTTCAGTGATCTTGAAAACGATCGTCCCAGTTTCTTGGGGGTTATTTTATTGCACAGCAAAAACCAGAAACAGGTGGTTCACTTGATATTTTAGAGACTGGCATGTATCCTGGGACAGGGTTTGCTTCTGTGAGAGAATATGTTTTAAGTTTTGAGAACTCCTGCTAAAAAGTAGAACACTAAAAAATATTGCAGACTTCTTAGGAAAAAGCTTGCTCTCAGGAGAGGCTGTACCTTGGTTTCCTCTCTTTTTCTAGCCATTTAAAAGTCATCATTTCTGATTTTTGGAATTTTCTTTGGTAGGAAGGTTTTGTGTTTACCAGGCTCGCCTCTTGGGAAAGTTTACTTCTTTTGCATCCTTTAACTTCTGGAATCAGCACTTGAAAATCAGTTATTTCATACTACATTCTATGAAAGTGAGCAATATCCAAGCCTTTTTTCGTATTTTTGCCCAACATCTGTACTATTTGTCATCTTCATTGGTTGATTTTGCTGCAGCAGTAAGTAAATCTGAAATTGATTGCTGTCAGAGTCATTTTGTGTATAAATTAATAAATTCAGAGAAGATAGAATGTAATGGAAAATCTTGCAAAGAGCATAAGGAGGTGCAGCCAATTTGTGACAAACTAATGATTTAGTACCACAATGACTTCAACCTTTTGGGAGCAACTGCTCAGCTGGAGTATTGACTTTCATTGAAATTTCGGAAGCTGTCTGCCATTAACTTTCCCTTTTTACATGATGTATATTGCCACAGTTTTAAGAGCTAGATATGAGAAGAAGGGGGAAAAAACATTTGTTAAGAACTCAAACACTGAACTCAGCACATGTCACAAGTGCTTCAAGGTCCATCTATAGACAGGGCTTTTGAAAGTAAGAAAAGCTACATGAGAAATTTTACCTTTTTTTTCATGTCCTGCTGAAGAGGGAGAGTAAATTGGTGCACAGCTAAGCTGTCAGCTTCTGCTTCAAATATTTAGGCATCTGTACTCTGATTTAATGCCCTGTCTATGTGTGGTTGTTCCTGCTTTGTAGTAATAATCCTGCCACTGTGAAAGCAGCCACCCTCCTCCACTTCCAACATTGTGAGAATGGAGGGGGTTTGTGTTGGTGTAACTTCATTGCAATTTAGGCTTCTGTGTACAAACAGAGCCTCCAAAACACTTCAGAGCTGCATCATGAGCATCGTTCACTTTTAAAAAAACCAAACCAAAATTGTGTCCTTGACTAAATAGACCAGGGAAACCCTGAAGTGTAGCCCAGCTTTTCTATTGTGCCTCCTTACAGAGCAGTATGCACTGCAAACTAGGTCCATCCTGCTGAATTACCACATCATGTCTGTAAAATGAGAGTAAAGCAATGTCCTTCCCTCCTGTGAATGCTGAATAAATACCTGCATAGATATAAAATATGTGAGGTGGGTTTTTTATTTCAGAGTTAAGTATTTTTTGTTTTGTTGAGGCTCTCTCCTGTTCCATGTGTAAGTTCTTGCAGATTGTGTTTTTTTCAGGTTATACCCAGCTTTAAGTGTTTACTCCCTCTTCCCCCCAGTGACAGTAGGGTTCTCTGCAGTTGTGAATCTGGTACTGCAGGACTTCATTGATTTCTGTCCTGTGATGGTTTGTCCTTGGATGTGGCTTTGCTCAGCATGAGGACTGTGTCTTTGAAGCTGATGAATTCTCGTGGAGGCCACATGCACAGAATTGTTCCCAAGGCAGGGGGTGCCATGAGGGGGAAGGGGTCACGAGAGCCGCTGCAAATACTCTGCACAAGGTTCTGGCATTAATTCTGCTGATGGGAAATGTATTAATATCTCCTGCTGAAATGTGATATTAATGTTTTTGCTGTGTGCAAGTGGATGATTGGATTGTCTGACATTTAAAAATTCCTATTTATTACAGCTCTCAAGTTTGCAAGCTGCTGTTTGAGTAGAGTACATGGGTGGATGTATCCTGTTTGCATTTCTAATGGAGTATTTCATCCTAACGGATAAAATTATACATGAAAATAATCTTTAGCACAAAATCTACACTATCTGTTTGGCTTCTTTTTTTTTTTTCCATCAAGGTAGATGTTGTCTGTATGACCTTAAAAAAATCCTTATCTCATAAAAGAAAATAAATGCCTTTTAGTCACATTACAAGGGAAAATGGTTCTGTTTCCTTGATCGGACTCAACACAACATCTTTGAAATTAATCTTGAAAAGTTCTCTGATTGATCTGGCTTTTTCTAGGTCACTGAGCTATATTTCCAAAGTGTTTATACAATCTATTGGAATCAATAAACAATTTAAACTGATGTAACTGCAGAATGTTTGCAAGTCCCAGAGAAAATTGAAAGTATGACAAAGAATACAGCTGTAGGAGTTTATTTTGTTTATCAGGACAAACAGTCATTGAAATGAAATTACTTTCCTTTGAACACTGCAATATGATAGTGACACCTTAATCACATAAATAAGTAGCTGGTCATTTTAAAGAGTTGTTACTGGTGATTTTGGGCAAATGGAATCCCTTTATTTATACTCCCAGAAGCTGTGCAATAAAGCCTGTTTTATAAAGTATTTCCAGTAGGAGAGTTAGAATATCATAAAAAGGTTTCACTTCAGATTATAATCGTTGTGTTTCAGGCATGATTTTATTTTAGTTTGCATTTCAGACATGATTTTATTTTCGTTGCATTTCAGTTGGCAAATATTAATATTATTCTTTAAACGTGGATTAGACCCGATAGTTGTTGCTAAAATTAGACCATAAAAATACTAGAAAAGCTAATTAAAAAGAAGCTGATACAATTTTTAATCACACTTAAGGTTTTGATTTTTTTTCTTTTTCTTTTTTTTTTTTTTTTTTTTTTTTTTTTTTTTTTTTTTTTTTTTTTTTTTTTTTTTTTTTTTTTTTTTGGTAAATGAAGTTTGGGGTCTGTGTGAGAGGCCAACATTTGTTATACCACAGCGCACACTAGTGGATTGAGCCATAAAATCACCCGGAGAAAGAATTTAATAGTTCTCGAATTAAGTACTTAAATCTTCTTCTTGCAGACATAGCCATGTATTTTCTAACTGAATACAATAGCAAGCTGGGTTTTCTCTTTTTTTTCCCCAGAAGTAAATACATTTATCTCCAAAGATGTTTGTAAATTTACGATTAATAACAATGACCTGAAGTCTTACATACGAATTTCATAAAATTTATTTCCCAAAGGCAATCTATTCCAACTTCCCAGAGCAAGCAACCTTAGTGCTGGCAGAACAGCAGCTGCTGTATAAATAAGGGAAAATGCCATGACTTCATGGCTCTATCTTTTATTTGTCAAGTGGGAAATGACTCACTCTTACTGCATCTAGGATGCAGATTTTTAAACATGCATTTCAGAGGTCCTTTAATATCAGTAAATGTTGTAAATTCTAATGGGAAGCCATAAGATGATAGTTTCACTGCAGACCCTTTCTCTTTCCTTTCTTTTAAAAAAAGAAAGTGTTTTTTTTTTTCAAAACACAAGTGGTAGAGCACGTGCATTGTAATACAATACATCAAATGGGGTTTGACTGCATTAGGGAAATTAACATTCCTTTCTGCTTAAGGGACACACTTCTGTTTCTTTAAAGGCAATGCTTTTCTCCCCTAACAAAATTCTCAAACCATTTTGCTTTCTTTTAGAAGAAGTTATGTGAAATCTTTTAGTGCAACAGATTGCTGGATTCTAGAATGCAAAAGAACTGCACAGTATGAATTTGCCATACATGTTCTTGGGTTTGGAATTAATTGTAAAATTCTCAGGATAGTAATATTAATGCTGTAGACAATTTGGTGAAAATTCCTGTTTGTAGTGATCCAAGGATAAACAACGATAAATTTTTTAGAAACGTGGAAATACATCCCCTATAGATTATATGTTATATACTTCCAATATTGTGTCATTTCTTGGCACCCTTTCCTGAAGAAAAATAGAAGCAATTTCTAGTAGATGAATTGATTTAAAGAAACTCATAAATAAGCTGAAAATACTCATGTTGTTTAGAGCCAAGAGAGGGATATTTTGGACATACAAACAACAATAAGTGAATCCAAATAAGATGTTTATATTAAATAAATAAATAAATAAATAAATAACCCAGAAGAAGATTACTCAAAACCAGAAAACTGGTTACTTTCTAGTTCTTTTTCAGTCTCTGTCTCTGGTAATAAAAGGAGTGATCCAAAAGATTGCAAAGAACTCTATGCAGGTTGCCTGCCTGCAACCTTCAAGACAATCTGGCACTTCCCACTTTTGGGATCCTGCTTCCATTAATTTTTACATTGCCAGGCTGCTTGTTTTGCACTGAAGCTTTCTCTGTGTACTTGGTTTGTTCTTTTTGAAAGGAGCTGGGCAGTTCTTTAGCTGTATTGAAATTTCTGGAGGTTTGGTGAAGGTGAACTGAGCCAGGCACAATCAGACTGGGGATTTGAGAGTGATAGACTGGATAATGCAGGGAATGTGATAACTGGGAGAGAGGAAGGCAGAAAAGCTGGCAGTCCCAGAGCAGACTGTGGAATCTCAGGGTTCAGATGCTGTTTCTCCACTGCATCAAATTTGGGAAGGCACCAAAGCGTGTCAGTGTTGCTGGTGCTGCTGATGCAGGCAGGGAATGGCAGCTCCGTGCTGCTGCTGGCTGCTGTTCAGATTTTCAGATTGCAGTGCCTGCTCTGCCAGCTCGCCCAGTGACCCGTGCTCACATCACCATGATACCACATCAGGAGCTGGGATTTTCTGGGTGCCAAGTCAAGCTCTCAGAGCTTAGGCAACATTGAAATGAAGATGCACAATCTTCATTTGGTGCTCTCTTTCCAGTGTCATGAGCTTGTGTAAGTAAGCATTTCATAACTTTCCTCCAATTATTCTTTCCTTCTATCGATGTCTCTTTTTAAAAAAAAAAATACATTTTTAATGTATTTTTTGATGTACATGGTTGGCATGTAAACAATCTTATAAATTTTAGTTGCCTCCCTTAAGAGACTGAGAATATTTATTGATATGAAATTTCTGTTAGCTTCTGAACTTGCACAGAAGGATGAGTTTCTGAGAAGGATGAGAATGGTTTTTTTAGTAAAGTAGAAAAAAAAATCCAAAACATAACAAGGTAAAATCCAAAAGTAGCTGTTTGTTTTAAATGACTCATACCAAGCAAGCTACCTGGTTTTTAATAATAAAAGAAAAAACCCAACAAAACTTAAAATGCAGTTCCTCTTATGAAATAAAGACTGCAATTGCAAGTTTTTGACTCCATGTGTTTTCCAATTTGCATGCATTGGGGTTACCTTCCTTTAGATTTATTCCAGTGAAAAGAACTTTGTGTGCAATACTTCCTTTAAAGAGAGGCAAATGAAACCTGATCACTGGGAATAGTATAGGTTTTTTTATTCTGTAGGGACCACACAAGCATTACAGAAATATTACTCAAGTTACAAAATCATCAACATTTTCAATGTTTTTCATCTTCTGTTGGTGTTGTGGCTGCATACTGTTTATGCACTGCTTTGAAATGTTTCTTTACTTGTACCCCAGAGGAGAAATTGAAACATTGTGTGTGTTCCAAGTAGAAGGAGGTAATGCATGCTTCATAATTAAAATGAAAAAGAAATCTGAATCAATGAGTTTTTCAAAAGAAATTATTTCTTCATTTTGTTTTTCTTCTTCCTCTTGCAGATTTAGCACTGGTTGGCCTTCACCAACAAATGGAGATGAGATCCATAAAAGAGTGAAAAATATTTTAAGGACACACAGTGCTAGACAGCGCCTCATATTTGTAAGTTTAACTGCAAGCTCAATCCTTTCTCTTCTCTGAAATGGCTGAAAAAGAGAACTGTGCCTACAGTCTTGGATTTATTATAATGTTGTCCTTTGGGACAGCCTTGATTGCAGAAATATGGATTTGGTGTGTGAGCTCAACTGTTTCACACTGATTTCAGAAGCCTCCTTAGCTTTCGCCTTTATGAAGTAGTACAGGCAACCCTCTCATGGCTTATTGAGAGCAATTATATTGGGGTGTGGGTTTTTTATACTCTGATTCTCCACTCCCAATTTAAACAAAAAATGTTACAGATGTGTAGAACATCAAGGCTTAACATGTTGTGCAGCTGCACATCAGCAGCTGCATGTATCCAGCTGTTTCTAGAGCTAATATTATTCTTCAGATGTGTGCTTTTTTTTCACTTAATTACCTGGCTATCAATGAACACAGCTCTTTGTCTAACGAGATTACACTTGGGAACAGAATATTTTACCTTGGATGAAATTTTGAGGTGTGGTTTTAGACGGACAAAATTTTTTCCTATTTTGATTTTGAGAAACACAGTTTCTCAAAAAAATGCCAGAGCATTGTACCAGCTGAATAAGAAGATTGTTCATCTGCAGAGAATTTAGAATCTTGAGTGTAAGGTGAGGCAAAAGAAAGGTAGGATAGAAAGGTTGTAAGGATGAGAGATGATTATGATACAATGATCATAATGATGATTATGATCTAAGATGATGAGGAGCTCTGGCAGTCTAACTCAGAAATGTTATTGATGGGGTAGAAGAGACATAAGTCTCCCAAAATGGAGAAAGGCATCTTTTTTTTTTTGCTTCAGTTTCTCTCTTGGAAAATAGAATGTTGACAGAAATCTGCTTTTGAATGTTGGTGCAATTTTTAGTTGCTACTGTCCCCAGCTGTCCACCTTTCCCCTCGGCTGCAGTTCCCTGTATCAGTGGGAAGTGGGATAAAAAGTGTGGGAGCCCTGATGTCCCCCCAGCACATTCCCCACAGCAAGGGCAGTGCAAGCACTGCTGGGTTGGCTGGGATGGGGGGGCTCCACTGACTGCAGGAAACCCACAGCAGAAGTTATCCATTCCTGCAGGATGGCTTGAAGAGCATCTGTCTTCACTCTGAAATCCTTATTTATTTACTTGTTTGTTTGTTTGTTTATTCATGTCCCCATGTTGGGCAGCTCATTGTCTCACCTCATTCTCACTTAATCTGATTATTTTCTCATTTCTGTTCAATGTTCATGTTTACCTTAGTTGTTGTGGGTTTTGTTTTTAACTCAGAAAAATCTTGCATACTAAGACTGTTTGATTTAGTTCATGCTGTACCTCCCCAGTTATTACATGAATGTTATGATTTTGTGAGCTGCTGCCTCTTAAATAGAAGATGCCCATGACATTTTTCTGTGTTTCCACTCAGAATAGGTACAAATGGTGTCAAATGCTCCCCTGTTGTTACAATGAACTTAGGATAACAAATTGGATTTCCTGATAGTGTTCATAGCAATGAACACTTGTACAGCCTGAACTATCTCCAGTGGTTCTTGACTGCTTTCCTCAAACCATGACTTTATGATAAGCAGAGTTGAATGATTGGTTACATGGTCCCTTCATACAGTCAAAAAGACTCTGCAAACATTGTGCTTCTGCCCTAAAAAATCCAGGTATTTGGTCACTGGGTCTTTAATTACCAGCCTGATCAAACCAGTGCTGGCAAAGGACCATTTTTCTCATTCTGGTTTCTTCCACTGAGCAAAAGGAAGGGAAGGATGCTACAGAGAAGTCTTGTGGTGTTGGATAGTTGTGTAGAGCTGCCTTGTGAAAGCCATGCTAACAGCAGCTGACCTGATGAAAAAAGAAAAAAAATCAGTTCTTGCAGTGAGTGCCTGTAAAATACACCAGGATTGGTTGTGCTTCCCCACATGGGCCAAAATCGGGGCTGTGGTATTGCACAGTGGATGGCTGAGGTAAATGGGTCATCTTGAAAGTGAGGGAGTAGTAAAGCAAATATACTGGCAATGTGGTGAGCAGATCTGGCTCCAGTCTAGATCCTCTTCAGACTTTGAAAGGTTAAGAAGTACCTCTTACTCTGTTTCACTCCAAAGAGCCTAGTACTAAATAACTATTCCCAGAATCATACAGCTGTGTCTTTTAAAATTTCTTTTTCATATTGCTCTATAAAAATAGTTGTATTTTTGTAGACTAGGGCTCTGCTGCAGATTCCTTGGGGTGTCCACTGTACCCTTCTGCTGTGACATTGTGACAGTATTGTTTCCATCTCCTTTTGCTTTCCAGAACATAATTTGCCTCTGGCAAATGCTGCAGAATTTTATTTACCACTGTACCCCATTTCCTCTTCGGTGCTTTGTAGTCTATGAAGGAAGAGAGCTCTTCTGTTTACAAATACACTTATTACCTTGTATTTCACCACAATAAATTCTTTCAGGTTTTTCCTCATCCATATGCTGCTGTTCAGCTTGCTGTGCATCTTATTGCCATCTACCACTATATTTATTGTCTTTTCTCCCAGTTCTGTGTTACCAGAAAGTGTGATTATTTTTACTGCAGTCTTTTTTCCAATCATTTCTCCTATAGCATGAAAGATGACTTTGTTTAGTAATCCTTACAGCAATTGACTTGTGCTGAAAGCATCACTTAATATCACCCCTTAAGTAAGGTGTTTGCTCTTCAGAGTAGAGTGAGCATGATTGTGTCTGTTGGAATTTCTACCATCCCATCTCAGGTGAGCAGCTGGCTCCCTCCACATGGGTGTTTTGTTTCTTTCTTATTTAAGAGGGCAAATTTGGGTTAATTAATGTCTAGATAGCATTTGGAAGGTAAAACTGCATTCTAGCAACTGATAATACCTGACTGAAGGGTCATTAAGTGTATCAGATTATTTTTAAAGTTCAGTAAGGATGTACTCAACCTTGGATATGAAATTCAAGAATTGAGATGTGTGGAATGCTTCTGCCTTGTAAAACACTTATTAAGTAGATAACATAATAAGTTTTAGGGTTTATTTCCTCTCTTCTGCAAAGAACACAAAAGCAGTAAGTAGTAGGTTTCATAGCATTTTGCCAACGTGTTTATTAGGGTTTGTTGGGGTTATTGAAGCTTCTGCTGTCTACGCAGTTCTCTAGATCTACACTGTCAAGAAATTCTTTCCAGTTTATTACCTGAAAATTATTAGCTGAATTGTACTGAACTTAATTAAAAGTGTTCATAAATGGCATTTGGCTCATTACACTTTGTCCCTTTCTCCCCCAAGAAATGTAAGCACTTTAATAGTCTTTTAAATGGAAAGAAAGTATTTTTGAAATGAGATCATTGTAATCAGAAACCAAGGTAATGAGAATTTGATTTCTGGGTTTTTTTAGGATGATTTGCCTCAGACAAGAGAACCTTCAGATAATATACCCTTAACTGTGAGTGAGCTGCAGACCAGGTATGGAGTTTTTCTCTGACCAAGACAAAACTGTCGTACTCAATATTGCCCTTTACATTTAACTACAAATTTCTCTTCCCATTTTGAGCTTTGTCTTACATTGCACAGGGTGAAGTTTTCAGGAGGCTTTACTCATACTAAGCTTTCTCACCTAAAAGCAAAATAGAGTTAAATATAATTATGCCTTTGATGTTGTTTGGCACTCTGTCAGTATAGTCTTCATAAAACACTGAGTTTGGAACTGAACTTGGCTATAAAAATTATTCTTGGGCAGACATTTTTGGAATTTGTCGACCAGAGGGCAAATGTCACTTTTAAAGTAATCACTTGGGGTTTTTTTTCTTACAACTATGGGAGTGCAAAAATAAATTAAGTTTATTTAGTAATATGGTTTGAGGCTGAGTTTTTTGGATTGTCTCTCTTTTGGTTTTTTAGGTTTTTTTGGTTTTTTTTTTTGCAAAACAGATATTTGGAAAAGAAAAGCATTTTCCAAAAATATACAGCAAACTTATATAGTATAGTTTAGTGATACAGCATGCTGTATTTTAGAAGCTGTCTTGGAAACCTGAGATCTTAAAAACCTGGTTTATGTACATTAATTACTCTGTGTACTCCTCACATACATGAGGAGTTCAACAGACTGGCAGTTACACAAAAAGCTTCTGCATCACTTCCCTAAATTTTCCTCCTATTCCAAACCATGACACCAGGGTTTGATTTTAATAATTTACTTATGAGATACCAATTAAATTGATTTTGATTACTTCTGTAGTAGAAGTTACCGATACTGATGTTCTATGTGTATGCACACAGTATTTTGTACAATGTTTTGGGTAGAGGAAAGATACTAAGTACTGGAAGTGTTTTTTGGGCTCCTATGGCTTTTCTGGTTTTCTTTATATTAAGGGAGAAGTCCTAGAACTGTGGTGCTATACTTGAGAGGTGTTGCCATTAGAAAAGGCTTTATTTTGATAGTTGAGTACACATAGTTTTCTAACAATGGCACTCCAGATCACCACTGTATATCCCCAAAAGGAGGGTGTTTCAATATGGGTACCATAACAAACTTATACTTTAAATTTATAAGGTACAAAAAGTTCATTTCTGATTTGCTGGCTTCTTTAAAAATCCCTGTGATTTGTAATTCCCTCTGTGCAAGGGGCTACTCTGATTTCCATATGGTTGTGAAGTTGCTGCTGCAGTTGTGTCTCCTGTACCTGTGCTCACTCCTGCATTCTGTGTAGCCTTTCTGCTCCCTTATCCTTTGTCCTGACAGCTGGGGCAATTAAATTGTTTAGGATGTGTTTGTAAGAGAGAAAGTGCAAGTTTTTGTTTTGAGGCAGCTTTGGGACTTGGAGATTTGTGCTGAAACTGCAGACCATGAAAAAAAAATTGAAAATAAACCTTACTACTCCAGACTGCTGAAGTGATGGGATATGAAGTGTGGCACTCGGGTTGGGAAGGGAGTGCTCCTTGGGTTTAGAGGCCAGCAGCACTGGGGGTGAGACATAAAGGCCTCGAGGACAGTCAGACTGCTGAGTGTTTGCCACAGTGCTCATAAACAGGATACAAGGACAGAGACAGAGTTCATGGAAGGACAGGCTACTGTCGACCAAATGCTGGCAGTAAAGTAGATGGATGATTGAAAACCGCTGGGAGTAAGGAAAAGGTCTGTGTTTTGTGAAATATTTAGTATATGATTCACTCAGAAAAGAACTTCTGGGACTCTTAAAGGAGATGTATGAGGGAACAAAAGCATATGACAGGTATTTCAGAGCAGGGAGTTGCGTGCAGAAATCCTGCTGTTAATATGATTTGTGAGTGTAATTCCCAGATTGCTTAGCTCAGGTTGTCAGCTGGTTTCCAGTTGAGACAGGAGAGGGAATCTTCCCTAACTTGGCTGTAGTTTTGTCCAGGTATCTCATGCACGAGGGCTGGCTAATGGAAATGCATGAAAACACACACACCCCTCCAAAAAGATAAGGGAAAATTAAGCCTTTTGATAAGTCTTTTTCAGTACCAGAATAAGGAACCTGTAGAAGTTACTGTTGGTGTTTGAGTCTTTACTGCAGTTAAAGTGTTGGATTTTGAGTGTCTCTAGCTTTTTTTGAGTGTCTGAGCTTTCAGGAGAAGAAAAGGCAAGCACAAAGCTGCTGCTGGAAATGGGTTCCAAGAAAAAGAGTGTCAGAGCTGTTTGTTGTATAGTTACAAGTGCTGTGCCTTGCTTTTTGGCCTGAGAATTCTCCATCAGGAATGAGGTACCACAAACTGCAGGAAGGAGGAGGTGAAGCTGCAGTTGTAGATGAGTCCCCAGGGTATTGACTTCTCTGCATTTGTCACAGGCCTGTATAACTGCTCTGTTGATTTTGTTGGTAGGTTGGTTTCTTTGTGTCCGAAGTGTGAGTCACAATTAACTCGGGATGATAAACAGATTTAAATTTGTTCCATACCATTGACTGATTTTAAATGATGGAGCCTTTTTGAATAAGTGTGAAAGTGGCCTTCCTCTCTTTTTAATATTGGAGCCACACAAGAGGTCTTGTTTTATTTGGTGTAGGTTGGCAGCACCCTAATATTTGAGTGCAAGAAGTTTAAAAGCATAAGCTGTTCCTTCTGGTTTTTTTTTTCTATGGGACAGTAGAAGCTTAGAGATGTGAATTTAGAAAACTGATCCTACATCTTCCTCTTCTTCCCCTTTTCTGTTCTTCAGATGAAAACCTTGTGTTTTGATGCAGCTGAATACATGTATTCATGGATGTGGCCTAAGGTTTCTTTCAATTTTGTCATATGTTGGCTGATACTAATTTGAAGATGAAGTATTAAGTACTGGTTTGATTGCAGGAGACACTATCATTAATAAACTACATGTATATAAGAAGCTGTAAAGCTTCCGTGTGAAATGTAATCCATTTCCTAAGTGAAGATGGTCACTTTAAACTTTACATTTCCAGTTTCAATTCCCAGAGAACATTTGCAAAAGCTGAAGATAACTAAGTCCTAATTTTTAAGTGTCTTAAGTGCCTAAATCTCTGAGCAGATGTGAAAAATGTCATCTCAGTTGTAATTTTTTTCTGATGATTTTTGAGCTTCTTGTTTCATGCTTTATTACAGGGAAATTGCTCATTTAATTATATGACACAAACCTTTGTTTTGAAAGTATCAAGAGGAAGCAGATAGTCATGATGTTGAGATATAAACTATTCAGACTTGGCAGTGTTTTGTAATGATTTGCAGAGTATAAATTTCACTTAACAGATCTAAGGAATAATTTCTCAAAGCAACTGAAAGATGAGCCTGTATTTGTGTTTGGTATTCAAACAGTTATACAGAAGATGGGGTGGGGAAGGAACCCTGCATAGCCACTATATCAAAATATATTTGGTAGAAAACTTAATCCATGATGCTTCCAATAGAGCACTTTACAGCTGCAACCACAGTAATTTAATATCCCCCTGATAGATTGTCTTCATATTGAAATAGCTGCTTGTGGTTACAATTTCACCTTCAAAGGACACAAAAAACCTACTGTGTTGCTCTTGCCTAGTTACACAGCCTGCAAAAATACAGCAAAATTATTGTAAGTTCTCTGAAAATTAATTCTATTTGAGGGGTATTACAAAGTGTACTCAGATAAGTGGGGGAGGATTTGTGTGAATGAATAACATGGTGGGGGGTGGTTCCCATTTCTTAAAAGTAGTTGCAATGCAGTTTTTATTTTGGTTTGTGGAAGGTAATCCGTGCTAAGCAGCTCTACATTGGTATTTCTGCTGGTTTTGTGCCACTGATTCCTTTTCCATATCTTGGTTTGATCATTGTTTCTTATCTTCTTTCCTCTGACAGCTCTCCAGGGCAGCACAACACTCCTGTTCACTTGGATAGTGGTGAATGTTGGTCTGGTCCTGCAGCTGTGTACAAAGAGAAGCCTGCCAGAGCAATCTTGGAGAAGAGTTTCGCAAAAATATACAGAGAGATGTACGAAAAAACTGCTGGTGCTGTTTCAGGCCACAAAACACATTCCTGAAAGCAACTCACCTGAAAACACACAGTATACAGTATTCCCAACTAAACCTATTTTTATACAACAACATTTGTACTCTATTTTTTAAGGTGTCTTATGGTCAAGCAGGGTTTTGGAGAAATGGGGATTTGGCCTGGGCTGGAAAAGGAAAATATAATTATCATTCACCCCCTAAAAAGAAACAAATAATCTCTAACAAAAAAATCCCCTCCACAGTTAAGCAAGATGGTGTTGCTCCTTTGAGACTCTGAAAATAGAGTCATTTGAAGACTAATAGGTCTGCTGGACATTCCTGTGTGACATCAACTCAGGTTTCAGCTGCAGCCAGTTCTTATTAAATATCTAAATCTATTTAGCAACTTTAACAGAATTGGTTGAAGAAGCAATATGTCCTGTTTGTCAGAGAGGGGACCCAAAGGAGAAGGTGAATGTGAGTGCTGGTTTAAAAGTGACCCACCTAGGACAAAGAGAATTGTTTTCTAGACAATTGCCTTTGAATTGTTTATTTTGGAGAATGGCACAAGCATGACCCATAGGCATGTATTTGAAGTGGTTTTGAGCACCTTTAGTCACAAGTGTTCTAATACTGTTAGATTTTGAAAGAAAACCACCAAGCCCAGCATCCTTTGTGTGAGATGAAATGTCATCTTCACACAGCCTTTGCATTTGAACACTTCTATGTTCTCCTAAATGCAGCCATGACATTTGCCAATACACTTGTCATTTAAAAATATGAATAAGAAAGGACTGAGATGGGGGAAAGACCAGAGCTAGCCAGCAAGCTCCTTGTGTTCTGTACAGCCCTTCTGACATTCCTGCATCACAATCCCACCTAATTTGGAGCCTGTCCTTCCCGGTCTGCTGGGATCCTGTTGGCAGCAATCACTTCGTTTTTGCTAAAGGCCACCAAATGTTCATCAGCAGTTCGATGCTCTCCCCAGGGATGGAACCTTTTCAGCCTTGCACTGAGCAGATCCCACATTAGCAGACCAGGGCAAATTGCCCATCCATTGAAAAGCTGAATGTTTTAAAAGGGCAAGAGTGTCCATCTCCTGCTTCCCCCCAGAATGTGGAAAAAACAAATGCCTGTTCTGGCTGCCTCCTTCTCTGAGCAAACAGAGGCAGCTCCACCGATGCCATTTTACCTGTTGTGATTAGATAGAGGATAAAGCTAGCAGTACAGATGGCACAACATATGACTGGAACCTGCCAGCATGCCTACATAAACAAAAAGTCAGTCTATTCTGCCTTCCCTCCTTTAATGCTGAGACAACATAATTGATTTGAGAAAGCAGTTGGTGAGCAATTCCGCTGGTGGGAGAGCACGTGAGGGGCTGTGTGCTGCTGTTCAGGCAAGGGCACTCTCAGAGGAAGAGTCTCACACACTGACATTTCTATTTCTTCTAACTGTTGGGCCCGTTGAAGAGGATTAACACTGATAACTTCCTGTCCCTGCTGCCACTTAGCACATTAGTGCTTTCAGAGGGCATTAGTGGCACCTTCCATGGGCCTGCTATGGAGAAGTGCTGACTCACTCTGTGAGGTGCAGGACACTTTTTATTGCAGAAGGGAAAAGTAGAACTTTCCCAAGTTGTGTCCCTGAAGGCATGGAGGGTTGTGCTACCAGGACCTGTGTTCACTGCTCTCTCCAGTGACCCCATGTTAGTCCACAAAGCAATAGTTTTCTTCCTGCTCAGAGGAGTACCTGCATTGAAGTAGATCCTAAATAGGCAGGGCAGATTCTGAGAAATACTTTCCAAGCTTTTGGTGTAAAATTAATCTGTTGAAACCTGAAGGTTTTTGCAGTTTCCAGTATGTGTCTGAGCCATAATATTCAGTGTTCTCCTAGTATTCTGCAGTTTTCATTCAATATTCTCTGTGCATTCCCTCCCCAGTGTCACAGCTGAGTAAAAGTTAGTCTTCTGAAGATTGGCTGCTCCCCTTTGGCCTGATCTAGCTCCATGTCATAGAAAACCTCTTTGATTTTTCCCTCCCCAGCAATCCAGCAGATTTCAGTCCCTGTTTGTTCACTGTGTGAGAAAGCCTGAATGCTGAGGGATTGTTGTGGGGTTTTCCTGTATGTTTAATGAAGGTCACAAGTTGCCATGAACTGAATACAAACGGGGATGAGAAAGGTTGGGGGCCACTATAAAAAAGCAAGGTGGTGCTTTCAAAGAGTCCAAGGAGTGGCTGAAGGATATCTGTTAGATTCCCCTAGCTAAAAAAGGAAGCATATGGTAATATGGCAACCTTCAATTCTCATCAAAGATTAAAATTTTTCAGCAAAAGTGAAAACTGGATGGGAGAAAAAAATGTCATTATTGAATTTTGACCAGTATAAAAATTCTCAGTGTAGCCTTCTTTTGCAGCATAGCATGAAATGGAGCAGACAGTCTCTGAGTATCTTTGGCCCTGCTCCAGCTGGGAGGGAGATGTGTGTTCAGTGTCTCTCTGAATCAGCTGCTGCAGGATATGTTCCTCTCCTGGGTCAGAGTCATTCCACAGCTCACGCCATGATACAGCAAAGAGTGCTCTCTTCCAAGCACTGTGCTGGAAATCCAGTTTGGAAAATGGAAAACTTTCCCCTGGAATGTGACTTCAGACCCAATTACTTTGCCCTTTGTTTTGAGAAGCATTTTCCCTTCCTCTGTTTGCTCAGGTGGCCCTGCCAGCACACCCAGCTCTCAGCATAGCTGCTGCTCTGCCCCTGCAGCCCGGGAGAAGTGGAGGTTCAGGCACTGAACCAGCACAGCAATAAACTCTAATTGTTTAGTGCACCTTGCCTTCTAATACAATTTAAATCCCTTCTCTCAAATGCAAATTTATAGGTGCCTGAGCGGAGCTTTAAATAACATTTTCTTTGCTCATTCCTTATCTTTTGCCATCTACAAAGTTCCAGTGACAGTGGGATGGCATAATTCCACCCCTTTTTTATCTCCTAAAGGAAAGCTGCCTACTCAAATCTGGCAATAATGGGCTAGATGAGAAGTGAATTGGTGCTTTTCTGTGAAGTCTGTGTCTCTCTTGCCCTCCCCAAGTTATTATAACCCACGAGTGTTCTCAGCAAAAGCTGTTCAGCATCCAGTGGTGCTTGCAGGATGCAATCAGTGCAATATTTTAATCACTTTCATTTAGTGAGTCAGACTCTGCTTCCTACTTGCTCCCTTCCCTCTCTCCTATGAATAACTTGGTACAGTTTAGGATCTTGGGCTGGCTATAGACAAACTGCCTGCCTGTGTTCAGAAGAAATGCAAATCCTTGGCTGACAGTAGCTGCTTTGGAAATCACTAAGTCATTGACCTGATGTGAATTAGAGGCAAAAATGTCAAACTCTTTAATGATTTGCCTTATCTAACTTTTTGACTTAGAGGAAGAGAAGCTTAAATTGTTCCACTGAGGATAAGAAGTGTAGGGATGGCTGGAGTAATGGGAACAGGTAGGAGCAGCTTTGTAAGATAGATGGGGAACAGTGTCTGTGCTCCAAAGCTGAGCAGCTTGGGAAGTGATGAGGGCTGTTCTTTAGATTGTGCATCGCGTGTTTGAATTTTACTATTACTTCAGAGGCTGCCAAAATTATCAGGGGAGAAGAAATCTACCTGGAGATGTTCAGAATCTATTTTTAGGGTAAAATAACAGAACATTTAGCTTGGCTCAGTATTAAATAGTCCTTTCCAAACTCCTTCTCATTGTTACCTCAGCTGTAAAATGGGGAGTTTGTGCTCTGTTGAAGCTTAATTAAATGACTCTGAAGTGCTTTGGGATCCTGAGGTGAATGTTAAAGAAATTATTTTATGGAAGCCTGGCTGAAAAGTCCCAGCTCATCTCCAGGTTACTAAAAAGGCTTTATTTTAATTTTTCCAGGTTTATTATGTTTTAATCAGACAATTATTAAACAAATCTTAATCAGATTTAATAGATTTCTATCTTGATCAGAGAGGGCTAGAAAATATAATGAGCTGCTTTACTACATGTGCTCTTAGGAGCTAATCTTTGCAGTTGGTATCTTGCTCAGCTTCTGTCTCCTGCATGATCTGGGTTCATATCCTCAAACTGATTGTTCTTAGGATAGCTTTTTTCTCTTTTATTTTTTTAATATATATTTTTTTCCATCCTGATGCCTTAGTGCTGTTTGCTCTGTGTGCTAACCAGCACTGTTAACATCTCTCATATCATTTATCCTCATCCTCTCCCCAGGAAAAAAGGGTGCAGTGTGACAGTGGAAAATTTAGTGTGGTGTGCCATGGGTTTGTCAGAGAAAGCTGGAAGGAATCTCTGCCTTCCCACTCCATGTGCAAGGAATAACTGCTCTTCCCAATTTTTAAGCTTGAAATGTTTTCTGAAACACTGAACTGTGCAACAAAATTCTCAGCCTTTTAGCAGCAGTCTCTTGCTGTGCAAATCTGGTAACATGGGTCATAGGAAAGGCCATGGTGTTAATTACTTCAGTAGTCGTGGAGTGGTCATCATCAGGATGCTGAGAATTTCTCATGAGATTTGTTTAGTAATCAAGGAATTTGAGGAAACTTTCAAATCAATGAAATTGAGCCTCTTGGTGCCAGTGAGAACACTTGAAGCTGAGAGAGGACAGCACTTCTAGGGCGGTCTTGATGAGCTGCCTCCCTGACAGAAGGGGTGTCTGCCCTAGGTGATGTCTCTGGGAGCTGCAGAGAATTGCTCTTTGCCCAGGTTCTTTCAGTTCCAGCAAATGCAGCGGCGTTGTGGGAAGTGATTGAAACCCCCAATATTCCTGTTTCCATTGCACAGGAGCTATTAAGCACAGGCTCCCTTGATTACTGTTGGCTTCTGCTGCTTTCCCTATGGAATTCAAAACATCATCAACCAAAGCCCTTCAAAGATGTGGCTGTAGCTCCTTTTATCAGTGTTGGCTTACCAAAGGCATGGGGTTTGTTCCCATTTTATCTTTGTGAGAAATTCTCTGAAGTGCGGAGATAATTTGTCTGGATGGCAACATAAAGGAACTGTAATCTTTCTCTTTGCTTGATCTATGTAGAGATTGTGCTTTTTCTTAGTGTGCATTTCCCTTCAATTCTGGGTGATTGCCTCTGG